TTGTGCACGAAGATGAAGCCCTTCTCCAGCGGGAATAGCATGCCATGGTTGGCCTTGTAGCTGCAGCTGATGCACTGCCCGCCGCGCTGACTGCACACGTTCAAACACGCACACAAACCAAACAAACACACACACACACGCGCATGCACAAACAAACAAACATACACACACACGCATGCACACACAAACAAACGTACGCCCACACGCAAACCGACATATCTATTAGAGCAGTTTGATTCTGACCATTCAAGCATGGACTCTCCGAGACAGCACATCAATTATCATGACAACACGTAGTCTGCAACTCAACGGGCGGAAACGTCCAACATGATGTACTGAATAAGCAGAAATATTCGTCTGGTATTTAATTTCTTCTTTTCGTCCAAGGAGCTTTTGGACTAAATTAAATGCCGGACTATTGTCGATTTGTCCAGCTTTTCAATACACTCTTATTATCCATGGACGAAATTTACAACCGGACGAATTCCCTTTCTTTGGAGATGGACGAAATTATTGACCGACGAAATGTTCTGCCTGTACAGTATGTGGTGCGTCCAGTACGTCTGCAGATCTCAAGCACCAGTACAACTCCTTACAGGGTTCTAGCCAAAGGGGGGGGGGGGGGGGGAAAGGGACGCAGAAAAAAAAGGGGACGCAGCGACCCCCTACTCATTTTCCGATTTTCGTGTTTCCATGCAATTCAAAGAAAATGCAGTCGAAAGTCACTACTAGATGGTTCATAAAGGCACATTTGTCTCGGGTGAAGTCGGGGATTCGCCCCATACGTTGCATTTAGCGTGGCAAGACAATATAGGAAAGTGGAAAAAATGGGATACGGCGTAAGTGCTTCCCATGCCCCCCCCCCCCCCTACTATTTTGACCTGGCTAGAAGTAGAACCCTGTGACAATATTAGACTATGTTAAGATGCTGCAGATCACACATACTACAAGTAGTACTTGAGTACAATTTGCACCACAGCCGGCTGACAAACAGGGGGAAAGAACACACGCAAAAGACAGGACAACGCGTGCCAAGATCATTACCTTCGGTAATTGCCAGGCACGACGATCTTCTTTGAAGCGACCGCCTTCATGACGCGGCTCAGCACCTCGTAAATAGGCCCATTCATCTGCTGAGTCAGCTTACCCTGGTACTGCTTCTCCAGCTCTTCTCTACAAAACGTAGAAAAAAAAAAGGACATACGGAAACGATTTAAGAGTAACTCTCCACCACTGTAACTAGATACTATATACAGTCAGAAAGTGCAACAACTAGGGACAAAACTGACAGAGTAGTGAGACATTCGACAGCCTGACACCTAGCTTCAACATCCTTTTCCTTTCTACATTTATTATTGGCTCAATAACCGAGTCTCTACAAAACGCATGAAAACACGCATGTACAAACACAAACACAGACACAGTGTCATATTGAGTCTTGTTGCTTGCTCCGTATCCAGGACGTAAAACAAGCTCTGTCAAAACGTCTCCAGCTGAGTCACATGGACAGGTGGGGCGAAGAAGCCCCCATGCCGACATGTGCATGCCATCCATGTGTACACAGCAATAGACAAAACACACACACACACACACATGCCCATCGCGGAAGCGATGATAACGAACCGCTATGTTAGACATAACAACTTGTGCTGGGATTACACCATTCAACAGCTTGCAAGGCAAATGTGTGTATGTCGGAGTATGTGGTGTGGTGTGTGTGTCGAAAAAGACAAGAATGAAAAATAGGGATTCACACACCACCACCACCACCACCACCACCACCACCACCACCACCACCACCACCACCACGATACTATCACACGGAATACACATGCCTACAATAGTGCACTGCCAATGTATCACTGCACAAGTGCACTGACTTACGTGCTGCAGTGGCAGTGCAGTCAGGGTAGAGTAAACCAATACTAGTACTACAGTAAAACCTGGTTTAAGTGACCACCCCACGGCGCAAGCAAAAGCGGTCGTTAAAGCCAGGTGGTCTTTAGAACCAGGTCTCACAGTGCGCTAAACCCAGAGGACGCTTACACCAGGGTTTACTATAGTATGCTCTGTGTGCTTGTTGCCGTGCATCTTGTTGCCGTGCATCGTGATTGGCGTATAAGCTCATGCCCACATCTACACTCATCCGATGCCCCTTTTGAATCAGATAAGCCCATGGGCCTGTCCGCGGAATTCTTCGGTATGCTGTATGGAGAGGCACCACGTGCACTGGTTTGCCACTAAATACAACGTATCTACAATGTTGTCATTAAACATGACCTCTGTGTGAAACAGAAGTATGGCGGTACTAACAGCAATTGACGGTACACAACAAAAGCAATGCCACGTTGCACGCATGATAAGAACAGGCACAGCGGCAGACTCACTCTGACAATGCCACCTCTGCTTCCATCGACTCTTCCTTGTTGAGGATGAGAATCAGAAAAGGGTAGCGCGTCTGGCCCTGCCTCATAGGAGGGTCCATAGCCACCTAGGAAAGAAGCACGCGTGCACACACACAACAGTGGGAGGAGGAGATATTAGAGAACGACCGAGACAAATACGGATCACAGTCATGCCTTAGTGCAAACGCTGCAGTACTACCTGGAGTAAGTGTCACTTTCCTGTTGGCTGATAAAAATTAATATCGGTACACGAGAGCAGTATGTTTTATGTTTTGCATGTAGCATGTAACTGCTGGTGGATGGCCAAATGCCTATAAATGGCCCGTGCATATTGTTCTACGGAGCCATGGTGACATTGGTCTACATGCACACATGAACGTCGTGCGTACAACCAGGGTGTTGTGGTCCTGGCCTACACGAGTCCCTGATTAGAATGCAGAAACCGGCAGGAGAGCTGTTCCGTGGTCCACCTTCCACACGCCGACATAAGAACATACTAAATATTCCAACACTACAATTCATGCCAATGGGAAGGATAAGCAGCTGCCAAAAGTACAGCGTAGCAAAGAAGTCATAATGTGTGGTAGTCAGCCACTCAAAAAGTCCATTACTAAAGATAACTACCTCCTAACTCTAGTCTATAGTATGTTGGTACTTGGCATAGGGCAGCACTACTGCACATGGTTCTACTTCAAGTACATGACTGATTTCTTGATAGTTGTAATTCGTACTGATGACACAATGAACTCAAATACATGTAAATACATTACATTTTGCAAAATACAAAATACATTGTAGTCTATATCACTGTATCCATACCATTCTGGCCACACAAGTCACCTAGCGGCAACAGCTACGAAACTAGATGTACAGCACATCGGCCACACTGCTTTTTCTATAAGTAATTAAATATACAGGGGAGTCGGAAGGAGTTAAACATTGGTGCGGCCAAAGTGTGAGAGGGGGGTCGGGGTCCTCCCCCGGGAATTTTTTTGAAAATTGAGCCTAAAAAGCCATATAATTATAATAATAAAAAGAATATGCATGCTGATGATACACCGCATTGTCGATGTAAAACATGGACCTGTACAAGAGTCGACAAGCCACCAACAAGGTTGAAATGTAAAAAAATAAAATAAAATAAATTCGAAAATTATTGGTGCGGCTTTGGCCGCACCTGCCGCACCGGTTCCGACGCCCCTGGTATATCCTGCAAAACTAACAGTGTAACGTTTCAAGCTACATGGTTCAAGTGATCACTGTCCTCCGATCTGCCACTCTCAGCTGGCTGTGCTTTGGGCAGTGGTGATCCTCACTGCTGCGGGCTGGTAGCATGCTCACCGAAGAAATGCCTCAAAAAAATTAATTGGCAGGGTTTCTTTGTGGTTTGTGAGCGGTGGCGGAACGGAAATATCTTTTAGATTACCACCCACCCAAATGCGGTCCATGGATATCATATCGGGTGAAGACAAGATGCATCGGATGCCGTCTCCTGTTATCTGGTTGTTCACCAACGACACCATCTTCAATGAGCTGGTCGTCCGCTTCATGTCAACTAGCTTTTTCACTGTGTTGTCACCCAGCTTGTTGCGATCCAGGAACAAAACTTCCAGATTCTCGTGACCTGTCAGGGCTGTGAGTAGATCCTCTGCGATGGCATCCGTCATTCCTGTGTAGCCCATGCTAACAATCCGGAGGTCACAGCAAAGCGGCAACGATGACATGAATGTCATGTAGGAGTCCACACCAGTCACTCCATCCTTGAAGACAGGATTCTCAGTCAACACCAGGACCTGCAATTTACCTTGTTTAGATGACGCCACTATTGCCGCCGCTCCACTAATGCTAATACTATTCGTATTGAATCGTAGAATGTGTAAAGTTGAGTTGAACTGGAGTCCCTGCCTTGCCAATGCCTGGACACCGTCATCTTTAATAGCATTGCTAGACAGGTCAAGTTTCCTGATACTGCTGTCACCGGCAATGAATTTTCCAAGGCTCTCCATTGTTAAGTTTGATACTTTGGCCTCGAGGTTGCCTCCATATTGCGCAACGATGTCCTTCACATCTCTCTGGCAAGTACGCCCAGATGTGATAGACCAATCGGCTATAATTATCTCATCATCGCCGCAGTTACCAGCCTTCTCCAGTGCCTTCAGCAGAGACGCGTCCACAGCATTTCCAGTAAGATACATGCGGCATGGTCGCTGCAATTTGTTCGGCAGTGCCTGTGCCTTGTCTGCTGATGCGGTGTTGGTGTAAACACGCCTTGCCTTCAAGAAGTTATCTATGTACGAAGCAATGTCATTGGTGAGTAGGTTTCTCTGAAGGCCGATAATCTCTATCCTTTGTTTGTGCTGAAGGGCTGACAGTATGCAGGTGGCGTCCTCGTCCTTGAGGTTGTTGGCGTGCAGACTCAGTTGAGTTAAATTTGGCATGGACAGTATCAGTGAAGAAAGGGCTGTACCACATCCCGTGAACAAACCAATATTCGATGCACACAAGTTAGACATGCTCAGGGAAGGTGTTGTAATTTTTGCCTGGAGCAGTTCCAGCGAAGCGTTTCGCAAGTCATTTGTCGATACGTTTATAGTGCGAAGATGGGGCAAGTGAAGCAGCTTAGACAAGGACCCCGCGTCGTGCTCTGTTAACCATGCACCCGTAATGTTCAGTTCTGCAATGCTGCAATCACGCTGCATATGTGGAGAATGGGATAGCGCTGCAGCGACAACTTCCAATGACGATCCGCTCAGGTTATTCCCATGTAGGTTCACATCAACGCATTGTCTCAGGTAAGGCGCTATCTCCGTGATCTGATCTCTAGAGAGGTTGCAGTTACTGATGTCTACAAGGTGTACTCGCTCAGACAGTCTCAACACATTGCACAAAGCTGATATGTCACTGTCGTTCAGATGTATGCCTGACAAGTTAACTCCATGTGATGTTTGCAGTAGTATCACGGCGGAGCGGGCGAGATCTTTACACTGATCGTCACTGGAAGACAAGACGGGAGAGCTGTTGAATGAAAGACTGCGCTCCAGTAAACACGACATCAAGAACAAGATGAAGCGGCGTTGCTGGAGCACTGACTTGTGTGTTGATTCTGCCAGCATGACTTTCAAAAAGTCAGGCAGGAGCTTAGTGAGAATAGAGCCCGCAACAAAACGCCAGAATGGCTGCGTCTCCTCGCCTACACCAATTTCGGAGAAGTATTGTGAAATATTCGAGACGAAGGACTGCTGCGTTGCGAAACTACGTGCTGCACAGAACTCTTGTATGGTAAGGTGAAGAAAGGCAACACGTCGCCCAGCACTGCCACTGGCTGATGACTGGTTGTCCACAGGGACGAGGAATCCTAGTTGCTTACACAGTGTCAAACAGTCATCCGGCATATCTGAGGATGAAAACCAGGCGCGGCCCAAAAGTAAGCGTTCCATGGACAAACGATACAAATGGCACAATGCTTGCACCAACTCTGCGCCATCACATAGGGAACCAGCAGGCCCTTGCTGAACGTGATGCTCCAGGCCGTTGGTAATGACATCATGCACTGATAATTGATCTCCGGCCTGGAATCCCCCACTGTACGTATGACCACTGGTTGGAGTCTGGCCGAGTGTCACTTTGCTGAACTGTTTTCTCCGCTTCCTCTCCAGTTCTGCAACAGCTGAACACATGAACTGCACGTAGAATGAAGTCGTAGACGGCGGTACAGCCTCGGATAAGGCAAACTCTTGGCAAAGGAGAGCGGCCAGCAGTGGTGTAGTCTGCACGGCATGCTTCAGGTGCTTGCGAGATGCCTGCGCTAACTCAGCCAAGCACTTTTCAGCACTCTCCGCGCCGCCCAACTGTTGGCAGCAGAAGTCCCGTAATTGTGCATCGGTGAAGCCAGTCAGCCGGTAGTAGGCTGCACATTGTCGTACCAGATCAGTGGCCTTTTCGCAGGGCCGGCTAGTGACAACCACGGACGCATTCACCAGCCGATTTTTCTTAGTCTCGTCCATGAATTGGCAGGCTGCTGATGTGTACTGGAATGCATCCTTCCCGCCTTCATCCACGCCATCTAGAAGCAGGAGAACACGTTCAGAGTTCGCTGACAAATATCGCAAAACCTCTTCTCGCTCGTCCGAAGTTATGTCCAGGGCGTGGTGATCCAACCCCAGAAACTCTGTCCACACACTGGTGCTAACACGGTCCGTATCTCGGCACGAGATTGGAATGACAAAGTCAAAGTGCTCTTGCATTAGACCAGGTGCTTCATCGCTTGAATAGTCGGCCATCACACGTCGACATGCCATTGTCTTGCCTTTACCAGCACCAGACATCAACATGCAACGCTTCAACAACTTCACTTTCTGGCCAGACGACGACGCACCTCTGCTATTACTACTTGCACTGCGCGCCGGTTGTGCGCCGGATTTGGGATCTTTCATCAGTAGCTGCAATGGATTGTGGAGTTCAAAACTGCATTTGCTGTCATCCGCAAGGTCGGCAAGGAATGCTGATGCTGAGGGACCGGGCTGTGCTCTGTTGCCCTTGCTTCGCTGAACAGACAGACGCAGTGCTTCGCGTTCAGTCATCGCCGTCATCGATACAAACGTGTCCTCCACACTTTCTTGTGTAGGCGCCATGCTTGCGTGCCGTGATTGCACTTCGCACTGCTTCTTCAAGTGTATTTTATAACGCTCAATGGGGCTTTTATCACCGTGGTATCTGCCTTTCAGAATCGCATTCTCTATCCAGGCCATTGCGTCAGTATATGGTATACGAGGCCGGGCTAGATCGCACTTACTAGCCGTTTCTTCAAATTCCTCTGCTATGCAGCGCTCACGCTCTTTCTGCAGCATTTCGGCCATTGCTGGCTGCTCCACGGCCAGCACTGCCTTGCAGAACGCATCGAAAACGTTTTCCGACTGGAAACTATCGCTGGTCTTCTTGGCAACAAGTAGTCTGAGAATCTCGCTGACCTGCTGATACTATTACTGGGTCGAATGTTGTTTGATTTCCACGTACTCACGAGTGCCTTCGAACACACCAGCATTGACCAGGTGATCGAAGACCAGCATTACATCGGCATGAAGAACGCGCTGCAGTT